TCAAGCCAGCTCACCAAGCGACTCCCATGCCTGCAGCCGACGGCTAGCCGCCTCCGTGGCAGCCGCACGCCATTTGGAATTTTTTTTTTTAAACGCTCCCTTATCTGACCAAAAAATTATAACTATATACAGGAATTATCTACACTATCTACAAAAGTCAAATACTAAGGCACTAAGATCAAAGAAGAAAACCCTCAGAACAAGAGAAACCTAAACTCATGTCCCTACACGAAGACTGAGAGAAATAACTGAGGTGACACAGAACCAGGAAGGAGTGGCCAGAAGAAAAATTTAAAGGCACAGTACTCCCTCAGTCCCTATAACTGAAGAATGATGGAATCCCACAGATGAATTGCGTAGCATCACCATGGAAAACCAGGTTGGTTCCACGGTTTCTGAATTACATCAGAAAATAAAGGTGGACATGGTATAAAGTCTTGTGCAGCTTTGGGTAATCTAAAGAGACCACCATGGAGATTAGAAGGGTTTGGATCTCGGGAAGAAGAACTGTCTTCCACGCCCATATTAGTAGCTAACTTAGCTTTATGTAGAAGCGATCTAATTACTGAAGGACGAAATAAACCAACAAAAGCTGGTACGTCAGGATCCATCCCTTCATCCTCAGACAGCTCAAGCTGGCCATAATCATCATCATTTAAAATAGAACCCTCAGCATGAGTAGGATCATGTTCAGAAGGATATGCTGTAGTATTATAATCCTGTATTGGCCCTTGATGGGCAGAAATGACCTCAGCAGCAAGCAACTTGGTGCCCTGTTGAATGGTAACAGCCAATATCTTAGAAATGGCCTCTGAAATTACAGATTGAACATCTAAATTTGGCGTAGACTGCTGACCATCATCTGCTCAAAGACCTGCAGGGGTAGGTGTGAAGGTGGCTTCAGGCAACTGGCAAACTACCCCAGCCGTACATTGTCCCATTGAAGATGTAGAGGGAGCGTCATTGGGTAAACCTCCAAACAGTGGCTGATCCGAGATCACCTGTCCAGGTGTCAAATTGGTCACTTCAGGTTGAGCAGAAAACACATCAGCCTGTCTCCTGACTTTATCAAACTGGCGTTCCAACGCCTTGTGATGCCTTTCTGCATCTTTATCACCCCTGGTGGCCTTACTGGAAGATTTGACCTTATCCTTGGCCACTTTACTTTTGGCCGGTGTTTTAGCACTTTGAGAAGCTGAGTGCTTTGTGTTATGCATTGTGGGGGGTGCAGGCTCACATTCAATATCGGATGATAGTGCAGAATCTGCCATAACCTCAGGTCCCCAGCAATAGTACAAGTTTAAGTATTTTAAGAATTTTAAGAAAGATCAAGTTACTAGTCCTGATCAAGAAAACAATTTTTTTCTTTTTTGAAGGGAACCTAATAAGGTCCAACCGCTTGAAAAATCGCAAAGGAAGTCAACAGTCAAATGAACTTTAACAAAGGCAAACCTGTCCTCACGATATGCAAAATGGCGGTGTCTGCAGGCGATGTCACTGAAGAACCAGCAATGTCAAGCAATAGCAGGAACCAGGCGGTGGAGAGGCAGAGCCCCTCAAAACCCGCTGCTTCACTAGGCTCAGCTTCAAATTAAGTCCATGAGCCTCAGGCAGTTCAGACAGGCTGGAAAGTCTGAAGCTTTCAAATTCGCCGCTGTGGCTTGACAGGGAAACAAAATGGGGGGTGTGAGCAGGAAAACAGCTCCTCAGCGCTGCCACGGTCTGCCAATGATAGTAAAAAATGGCATGAAGGCTTAATTCGCCTTCCACAGCGCCGTGAAGCTGGTTCCTGTTAATGGAGTGTGACCCGATTCCTCAGGCAGGGACTCTGACGCCGCTTGTTAAGATAGGGCTGTGAGATGGTGGCGGTTAAGCCAACAAGCCGGAAACCGGCACACCACCAGCGGCAAGTAAATCGCACGAAGGTACCTCAAGAAGCAGCCTCCGGCAAGCTGCTTTCCTTAAATTATCGGCCAGTGTAAGCGAGCTGGAGGCCAGACACGCTAAACACACCGCCAACAGCCGAGGGGAGAGCGCTCCAATCCCCCACACCTTCACGTTGTGCAGCTTACCTGAAATTCGCTAAAACAGAGCTCAAACAGCAAGATTCAATTAAGTACAGTCCAAAAATAAAAACAAAACTACAGACCAACAGAAATAATTCAAATTAATTCTCTGAAATTGACAGAGAAATCCAACACCAGTCTCTTCAGCAGACTGAGTGAAAAAAGACTGAAGAGGGTGTGGCCAGACCAATGGAAAAAGTTTAAACACTCAGTCTCGAGTTAAGCATGAAGTGATTACCCATGTGTGGATTGTCGGAGCAGCGAAGCTGGAAAATTGGCAGTCTGGATGCTGGTAAGATCAGCTGTTTTTGGACAAGGAGACGGTTACCATAGCAATTTTAAGATGTGTTCATCCTTTCCCTAAATGTTGTTTCCTGAATCTACAGTTCACTTTGCTGGGATTCTAGTTCAGTTTATCTCCTAGCTTCATCCTGCATTTTTGTAATCCTGCTCCAAGTTTGCATACAATGCTATAAGAGGGTTCTGCAAGAGATTCTTTGCCTTAAGTTGTGCGTTTCTGGAATGGTTGCATAAATTAATATGGAACATCTGTCTAATAATATGTTATACTGTAAGAATGCAACTCTAGATCATGTAGTAAATAAGACTGGAGAATGGAGGAGAGATGGACACAGAAGATAAAATTGGTGGCTTCATTTTTTTAGTAAAGCCATAGAAAAGCTTTTTACAGTTTTATATTTTACAGTTTGAAAAGCCTTCTCAAACATTTGGCAATCCTTAGTGATGATGATCTGGATTTGTGAAAATAAAATAAAAATGATGGTAATAAAGGTTTTGGTGTCTTGTGCTGTTGTGTTAAAAGTCTTAATAATGCTTAAGACTTCAGTGGAACAAACTGTAATCAAACAAACTTTCTTTTCATAAACGTTCAGGAATTCAGTTCCTTAAACAAATGGCAAAAAATACATCTCTGTAAAAGGAGAAAACAAAGGGTTGGGTTTTTTTTGCTTCAAGTAGTAACCAGAATCTAGTACTATCTCTGGTCAATATAGAAACCCCAGAACAAGATAAAAATTCCATTCCACTTCTACATCTTAGTTGGCTTCTTTCTTTAAGCTTTTAAAAATATTCTTCTAGCTACTGTATACACTCTGTAAAATAGCGGTTCCCAACCTTTTTGGGTCCATGGACTGGCAGCAGCAGCAGGGGGAGAGGGGATAGTTGTGCATGTGCAACCTAATCCTGCAGACGTGCAAATAAAGCTTTGTGCACTTGCCCGCCGATTGCACGGCTCTAGTTCCCAAAAAGCCACGGACCGGAACTGGTTCACGGCCCGGGGGTTCATGACCTCTACTGCAAAAGAACCGAACCTATGGCATTTAGAGTAGGTCAAATTAATTCATTAAATGTGCTATACAGAATTAAAGAATATGTTGTTGTTGTTGTTGTTGTTGTTGTTGTTGTTGTTAGCCTTTCTCCGAAGACTCAGGGCGGCTTACAATTTATTCATTTATTTATTTAAATTTTTATACCGCCCTTTTCCCGCGGGACTCAGGGCGGTGCACAGCCAACACTAAAACACATATATGCAAAAAATTTAAAAGCAATTTAAAAGTACATTAAATAATTTGGCCCCAGTCTTATTAAAAACTAAAACAACCATTAAAATTCAAGTTTAGGCCAGCCCAGCTTGTTGAAACAATAAGGTCTTGAGGGCACAGCGAAAGGCGCACAGGTCAGGGATCATCCGTATCTCCGGGAGCAATTCATTCCAGAGGGCAGGTGCCCCCACAGAGAAGGCTCTCCCCCTGGGGGTCGCCAGTCGGCATTGTTTGACCGACGGCACTCTGAGGAGTCCCTCTCTGTGGGAACGTATTGGCCGGTGGGAGGCTATCGGTAGCAGAAGGCGATCTCTTTTAAATACATTTAAAAAAACCATTATAAAAACATTTAAAAATTAAAACATTAAATATTAAATATGTTGATATTTAATAAACCATAGTTTACCAGGATATAAGCCAGTGTCCTTCCCTCCTTTTCCCCTCCATGCTAGGAATAGAAAATCAAATACTGTATAGTCCCAAAGGTGCTTTTTTTCAAGAGGCAACTGGACTTTCTGGTTTTTCTTTGAAGACGTTTCGCTTCTCATCCAAGAAGCTTCTTCAGCTCTTGAGAGAAAAAAGCATCTTCGGGACAACCATGACCTGGAAGATTGAGAATCTCCGTAGACAATACTGTACAGTATTTTTATTTTTTTCTTTTCATCTTATTCCATCTGAATTGAGTCACATGTAAAAAAAAATTAAAAATAGACTTGATAGCCATGATCTTGGGCAATATTTGACTCAAACCTAAATTGGAGTTTACAGTTAGTTTGCTGATTACACTAGATAGCATATAGAATAGATTGTGCTAGATTTTAGCCCTACTGATATCAAAGGACATGAGATTAAATTGTGGCTAGCTTGTCCCAATTATTGTAATAAAACTAAAGTGAAACTTAATCCAGATCCAATCAACTGCTCCTAAGAAACTTTCTTTTAAACTACAGGAATATATGGCTCTTCTACTGCCATGTAAATACTGCATATAATCTATTTGTTGTACTGCAGTTTTCAGAGAGTCTCAATTACCAGCTATATATCAGACTTGTGATTTAGGCCTAATTTGAAGATACCCAAATACTCAGACCATCTCCAATACACATATTATTTAAATCATTAATGACTTAAGAGATTTTTTAAAAAAGGAGTACAGCAGTTGTTTTGAAGTATTCAATAACTGGTACTTTATGTAGATTCGCAACTAGTATATCTTTTGCAGAAAATGCACATACAATGAATATATATATATATATATATACTAATTATACTAAAAGAAATATATCTGGCAAGCAAACCACTGAAAATAAGGGATGAGGTATTACCTTTGAACAATTTACCAGCAGAGATTATATTATATGATTATATTCTATTTTTCCTTTTCAAAGTATCCCTAATTTTGCATAAGAAAAAAGTTTGGGGAAATGTATTTGTAATTCATCATACAATTATTCTCTTATTTGCAAAATACAGTAATTTTTGATTATACATACTGTAAGATCTGTGAAATAGGACACTGATGTCTCATGTAAATAGTAGGGCACATGTTTTTAAAGATACCTGTTTATTCATAGGATCAACTCTTATTATTAAATTAAAATGCATAAGGTAAAATTTAATTTTCCCAAACTAAATAGAGCTAAATGAAATAATCCACATTTTGCTGAGCTAGAATTCTTTGAACATACAGAACTGTGGTTTGAACAAGGATTCTTGGACTTGCAAAAAGGCCTTTTCCAAATACTATCCACATCATGACACTACTACAGTATTTCTATATCATAAAATAACTTTGCACATCAATCAGAATTTGTACTTCACATTCCAGCTGTCTTCTGATATTGGAGAATGGTATCAGCTTGGAGGCCTTCTGCAACGTAACAAATTGTGTCACCAGGGCTGTGATGTTTTAAAATTACAACCTTACGCATACAATTCTGTTGTGCAATCAAGAGAGATTTCTAAATTTAACATACTGTATATTCCTCTTTTAAATCTTTCTTTTATAATTAGCATTTAGAGAAAAAAGTATCGCAGTAGTTTCCCAAAAATTCTCATTAACCAAAAACATGGGGATTTCTGGGCTAAGAGCTGTTTTTTCTTTTTTCAATGGGGAAAAAAATACTTTATAGAAGCAATATGAAATAATAAACAAAGAAAAAAAAGGCAGGCAGAGTAAAAATTCTTGGCTCAAACTGAATCTATCCTTGTCGGTAATCCAGAAATACTTCCTGGGTGTGAAATCGCAAAGCAGACACATTTCACAATTTCCATAGCGTCTATTTGCATGTGATGATGTACAAACTCACTCCCAAAGTCATGCTTGTAAACCTTGCCAGTAAGAGAGAGCAGTGGCAAACAGAGTTTTTCCTTACTCCATGCATTTCCTCAAAAAATACTACAAGTTGCAGCAATTAAAATGCATCACAACCACCCAGCTATATAGACCGTTTTCAAGTTATGGAAATGGAAAGAATAACTGCCCAAATGTAAGTAGCCTTCAATTTTATAAACATGGTTATGTTGGCTGTAGTATGAAGAACCAAAGGGAAGTTGATCTGGGCCTCAATGAAAAGCAGCCAAATTTTTGGCATCAGAGAAAGATAGAATTCTAAACAGCCTATCATGCCTTTCTTCTGCTGCTAAAAAAACCCTCAGCTGAACATGAATTTAGGAACAAAAAAGCATCTGTTTGTCACACAACTTGCAAACCCCTGTCATGCCCATCTAGCTGCACTTTCAGTTTGTGGAGCTCTTCAATCTCTCGGTTGTGGCGTTCTGTTTTGTGGCGGACAAGCGACCGGTAGAAATGGATGGTGAAGACAACGAAGATGATCCCCACAGGAACCATAATTATAGTAGAGACGAGGGCTGCATGCCAGCCTGTATGCTGGCTGGTCTTCTGGATAACAGTACTATCATTTCTCAACACAGAGTCCACTGGCAGAAATTTGATCCAGCATAGGAGGACAACCTCGGCAAGGAAGAGAAGGATGCCCAAGACAGTGGAAAACCCCCATGCCAACTCTATGTATGGATGCATACGTTCGTGGGGAGACTCACTGATGGAGTTCAGGTTGTGGATGTTACTCACTGCTTCCACGTTAGGCAAGATGCAAGTGCTGATAAGTAGAGCAAAGAGATGCACAGCAACTAAAATGGTGGTGCAAGCACTAAAAGCAATCAGCAGCATTTGGGGATACTGGTACTGCATCTCAAGCTGGACTTCAACCATTGCCACCTGCAAAATAACATATTAAGAGGTGACTATTTGCTTGACCTGAAAGACCAGGTTAAGGACAGATCATCATGGAGAAAATGTATCTACCTAGTTGCTAAGAGATCAACACTTATCTGATGGCACATAACCAGTCAATTTGATTGGGGTTCCATTGGAGATAACCAATTACATAAGCATGTTGCCAGGATAGAAGTGAAGGCAGTCAAATGAAAAGAAGTCATCCACTTATGTAATTTTGTTGCTTGTATCCTTACAATTTATATTGATATAGTTTCCTGATTGCTTATTTGTACCCTATGACTATCATTAAGTGTTGTATACATTCTTGATGAATGTATCTTTTCTTTTATGTACACCGAGAGCATACGCACCAAGACAAATTCCTTGTGTGTCCAATCACACTTGGCCAATAAAGAATTCTATTCTATTCTGTTCTGTTCTGTTCTGTTCTGTTCTGTTCTGTTCTGTTCTGTTCTGTTCTGTTCTGTTCTGTTCTGTTCTGTTCTACTCTACTCTACTCTACTCTACTCTACTCTACTCTATTCTTCTTAATGCTATCTTTTTAAGTACCTTTAAACTGTAGAGACCACACACACACAAAGGTTGAGGATGTATGTGGTAACTTTATTGTCTTACATAGTGACATTATATAGTTTGTTACTTTCAAGTTACAGCATACTTGGCAGAATATCATTGGCTCACAGAATCTTCCAGGTAACTTAAATCATAGATTAATCATTACTGCTGTCTTAAGCACTTCTAATATTTGGCTATCATTAAAATCTAACACACATCCCACTTCCTCTCCTCCTGTTCCTCTTGTTTACAGAATTAGGGTCTTATCTTCTAATATAATTTCCTGGCACTTACGTGTAAGTAACCTTCCTTATCTGAGGTTTGCCATCCAAGATAGGAAAATCCCTGCACATATGCAGATTGCAGATTCCTACACTTTAAACCTAATTGTATTAAAATTTGTTTTAATCCATGACTCTGTTGCTAACATGGTTTTATGTTTCGGGAAGGAAGGTTCCTAAACATGGCATGGCAAAGCAGTGGTGAAATCCAATTTTTTACTACCGGTTCTGTGGGCCTGGCTTGGTGGGCATGGTGTGGCTTGGTGGGTGTGGCAGGGGAAGGATACTGCAAAATTCCCATTCCCTCCCCACTCCTGGGGGAAGGAAATTGCAGAATCTCCATTCCCACCCCACTCTGGACCCAGCCAGAGGTAGTATTTGCCGGTTCTCCAAACTACTCAAAATTTCCGCTACTGGTTCTCCGAACTGCTCAAAATTTCCACTACCAGTTCTCCAGAACCTGTCAGAACCTGCGGGATTTCACCCCTGATGGCAAGGCAAGGTAAGGTGTAGAACAATGGCATAAATTTTTTGCACCTAAGGGTTGCATTTCCCCCCCAATCCATAAGGTAATAACACAATGATGTCACTAAGCATATTAAATGGTGCAAAGCCAAAATTTCCTTCCTTCCTTCCTTCCTTCCTTCCTTCCTTCCTTCCTTCCTTCCTTCCTTCCTTCCTTCCTTCTTTTCCTTCCTTCTTCGCCACCCAGAGTCACATTTTATGAGGTGGGCAGCCATGTAACTATGATAAATAACATCTATTTTTATCTTTATTTCTTTTCTAAAATCAAGAAATTATCTCTGCTGGTAAATGTTAGTGCTGTGATACCAGACAGCTTCAGGATTCTGAAGGCTGGGAAGTCACATAGTTTATAAGTTGCCACCTCCGATGTAACAGGAATCATGAAAGTGGCCGTTTAGGCCACCAAGTACAACTTGCTGCACAAAAGGAACCAAGACAAATGAATCCAAACAACAATCGTATAGCTTCTGAGCACATGCAGTGAAAAGAGAGCCCAGAATACAGTATACCCTAAGTCTACATCTATGTGACAGTTCTTAGAGAGTTTTAAAAGTACCTCCCACAAAGGAACTGGACATGCACGCTTTGTACTTTTTACTGAAAAGAAAATTGACAAACAGGATGTGAAAGCAATGGAATGGAGAAGCTCATTTATCATTTAAAAATGAGCATTTGCTTATCATAATTCTGCATGCAAAGATTGGCTTTATGCTTACATTGCAAACTTTTAATGCTCCTCTGGATACCTCTGATCGCAGGTTAGCTTTGTTACATCTGAATACAGGTAGTCCTCAACTTACAACAGTTCGTTTAGTGACCAAAGTTACAACAGCACTGAAAAAAGTGACGTTATCCCGTTTTTCACACTTACAACCGCTGCAGCATCCCAATGGTCACGTGATCAAAATTCAGATGCTTGGCAACGGACTCATATTTATGACGGTTGCAGTGTCCTGGGGTCATGTGATCACCTTTTGCAAGCTTCTGACCAGCAAAGTCAATGGGGAAGCCAGATTCACTTGTGGCAAGAAAGGCAGTTAAATGGGGCAGAACTCACTTAACAAATATCTCACTCAGCAACAGAAACTTTGGGCTCAGTTATGGTTGTAAGTCAAGGTCTACCTGTATTAGAGAACCCAGTGAAGATCTCAAGGAACTCAGTTCTACAGTAATAATCGCAGATCACAGATCTGAAAACTCGTGATAGTCTAGCAGCTATAAAAACATACCATGGCAAATCCAGAGAGGAGGGCAGAGGTCCGGCTGGAAGCTTTCAACTTGGCTCGACTCAAGTATAATTTCCTCCATGAAAGGGCCTGAACAGAGTGATGATTGGAGGTGACCAGCTCCAGGTAACTACGACGGACCCAGTCCCGGTAATCCATGCCCTTGCCGGTGGGCTCAGCACAACAGGTAGAAGAAGGAGGGTCTACCGGGACATTTAACTCGGAACTCATGATGAAAGTCAAGCTACAGAAATTTTTAAAAATCCAACCATTAGCAACTGTTTATAAATAAATTATAAGCTAGGGTTGACCAAACACTTACACAATGATTTAGGCAAGGAGAATTAGTGTTCCTACATTTACTTTACATATACTAATTTGTATACACACACAGATATATATTCACTGATTGCAAGTGATTAAATAAAAGCATTTATTTAATGAATTCCCAATGCAACCTGCAGAAATGTACTGATTAGTGCATTTTAATGCAGCACAAGCATTTCAGCTGCAGGAGGCAGAAAAAAGCAAAACTAAAAACTAAAGTAACATAGAAGGGAAATATGGAAAAGAGGCCAGTTGGCATGACAATTACAGGATTAAAATTAATACTTAGGAATGGGCCTAGGCTGGCAAGGAAAAGTCAATCTGCATACCCTGAAATGGCGAACTTTAAAACCAAATGAAAAGAAGCTGCTGAAAATGTAGGATAAAAGGAATACAAGTGAATGCACCCCTGATGAGAGAGCAAAGCTGACCAATATGTAGTTATCAAAACATATGTGCATTATTAAAATGCTGTTAATTTGCAAAATCAGCAATATTCTGAAAGAAGGCGCCTCTGAGGCATGTAGGAATAGGAATTATTGTTAAATAAAATTTGACTTTTTCTGAATATAGCCATTGTTCTCAAAGGCAATTTCCAGTATTGCTCTTTAACAATACTGTAGCATAGTCATTGTTTGTCACTCCTCTTCAGAATTAGAGTCAGTTAAAATGATGCAACAAAAACACTGCATAAAACTTATGTAGCTTACAGCTGTTTGAAGCCCTGGGAAGAAAAATGAAGCAAAAGATGAAATTGCACAAGTTAGTTGATAGAAAAGTGAAGTAATGGAAAAAGCGCATAAGAATATTGTAATTAGGCTAGCTGAATAGCATCCAGGTAGTCCTTGACTTATAACAGCTCATTTAGTGTCCGTTCAAAGTTACAACGGCACTGAAAAAAGTTACTTATGACCATTTTTCACACTTATGACCATTGCAGCATCCCCATGGTCACATGATTTACAGATGCTTGACAACTGACTCACATGTATGATGGTTGCAGTGTCCCAAAATCATGTGATCTCTTTTGTGACCTTCTGTCAAGCAAAGTCAATGGAGAAGCCAAATTCATCTAACACCTGCGTTATTAATTTAACAACTGCAGTGATTCACTTAACAAATGTGGCAAGAAAAGTTGTGAAATGGGGCAAAACTCACTTAACAATTGCTTCACTTAGCAAAATAAATTTTGGGCTCAAGTGTGGTCGTACGTTGAGGACTATCTGTATTTACATACTAGTATCAAGCACCTTTTCAACAGATATATTTTTTTTAAAATGGATTATACAACAATGCCTATTACATTCAGCAATGACTGATATAGCAAAATGTACATTTTGTGCCTTGGTCCCTCCCCACCCACTTTAGCTTCTTTCCAAGAAAGTAGTGCTTGTTGAAGCTGCTTGATTGATAATTTTTTTGGGTTCGTGTCGTTTAATATAATACTTACTTCTTCTGTTTTCAAATTTACCTTTTGGCCTGTCTACTTCGTCTAAACAAGCATAAAAGATGATAGATTTGCAGTTTCATTGGCAACAAACAATAGTATATTAAATTTAAACAATATGCCATAATTATTGCCTTCAAGTACATTTTTTGCTTTTATGCACAAAATATAGTTTTATGGACAAATAAAGTAATACACAATACATTTTGCAAAATAATAGTGTAACTTCATATTTGTAAAAAGTGCTTAAAAGCAAGCATTGTATATATTCCAAGTTCTTCCACCAGAATTTCCTGAAATTTGAATTTTGTACGTGTAAGAAAAACCAAATCAACAATGCAAATTGGGAGCTTGAGAACAAAGAACAGGATGAAAGATAAACTCATAACTTCGTCAGAAACCAAAAGATATTTCCGGTTGAAAGAGAGAAAAAAGCAAGTTACAATTCAGAGCAAAACATAAATCCTGTATCTTTTATTTTAGGTGGTACTCCAGCCTGATAAATGATTAAAGGTAAAGGTAAAGGTTGCCCTCGCACATATGTGCTAGTCGTTCCTGACTCTAGGGGATGGTGCTCATCTCCGTTTCAAAGCCGAAGAGCCAGCGCTATCCAAAGACGTCTCTGTGGTCATGTGGCTGGCATGACTAAATGCCAAAGGCGCACAGAACGATGTTACCTTCCCACCAAAGGTGGTCCCTATTTTTCTACTTGCATTTTTTACGTGCTTTCGAACTGCTAGGTTGGCAGAAGCTGGGACAAGTAACGGGAGCTCACCCCATTACGTGGCACTAGGGATTCGAACTACTGAACTGTCAACCTTTCGATCGACAAGCTCAGCGTCTTAGCCACTGAGCCACCATATCCCTGATAAATGATTACCTGATAAATGATTATAAATGATTACTTGATAAATGATTATCTTCACTTAATTAAGTTCTCCATTAAGCTACAACTGTTGACAAAAATAGGATTGCCAATATGATCGCCAACGTCCGATGACGGACATGGCACAAGAAGGAAAAGAAGAAGATTAAGCTATAGTACCGAGTTTGTCACCTGAACTGATCTGAGATATATAGTGCCACCACAATGTTGCAGAGTTCCTAGGAGGCTTGGAAAGCTGAGATGATTAACTTTAGGCTTCACAGGAAATTTGGCAAAGACTGTTTTGTAATTTCTTTGAAATTACAGGATGGGGTATTCCCATTAAGGGAAATTCCTATCTTCTTCCATCTCCTGCCTGCTGAGATTTCCCCCACCCACTTGGGGCTTGGTGTTTCGGCATCTTGCCTCCATTCCCCGGTTTCACCAAGGGGCAAGTTAGTGGCCATTTGTGATTTTAATTTCTCCATCTCCATGAAAAGAAATCACAGCAGGGAAAGGATGGGTCCTTGACTTACAAAAAGTTGGAAGTTACAATGGCTACAACTGGTTTTCACACTTACAACTGTTGTAGCATCCCCATGGTCACGGGATCAAATTCAGGCCCTTCACAACTAGCATGTATTTATGACAACTGCACTGTCTTAGGGTTCATGTGCAGCCTTGGTGGTGCAGTGTTAAATAGCACTTAGCTGCCAGCTGCCTGCAATTACTGCAAGTTCAAATCTCATCAGGCTCAAGGTTGACTCAGCCTTCCATCCTTCCAAGGTAGGTAAAATGAGGACCCGGATTGTGGGGGCAATAAGCTGACTTTGTATAAAAAAAACACCGCTGGGGGGGGCCCCAAAAGCCCAACTAAGCAGGTATATACAAAAGTATGACGGCTATTGCTTAATGCATTGTAAGCCGCCCTGAGTCTCCGGAGAAGGGCGGCATATAAATCGAACCAATAAATAAATTAATTAATTAACCGATGCGCCCTTCCCAGCCAGCTTCTGACAAGCAAAGTCAACGGAGGAAGCCAGATTCACTTAACAACTATATGATTCATTTAACAACTGCAGTAATTTATTTAACAGCTGTGGCAAAAAAGATCAATAAAATGGGGCACAACTCACTTAACAACTGGCTTGCTTAACAGAAAATTTGGGTTCAACTGTGCTCGTAAATCAAGGATTACCTATAGTTCCAATGCTGGATAACCATTTGTCTGAAGTGGTGTAGGGTTTCCTGCCTAAGCAGAGGGTTGGACTAGAAGACCTCCAAGGTCCCTTCCAACTCTGTTATTCTATTTAATACATATTTTGAGAATGTGGAATCCAAACTTTGGTGACCAGACTTCCAAAGTAATGGGAAATTACAGTTTTCCCAAGAGTTTATGGTTAAGTGAAGCATGTTTTCTTATCTGGCTTTAGTGGTCAGATCCAGCAATAGTCATGATCTAACACAGAAGCAATCCACACACAAAAAAAAGGCAGCAATTTTTCTGCTCAGAACTTGACAATCTCTCTCAACCTCCCTGGCTATCTTACCTTTCATCTGATTCTTTGCAGCTGTGTCTCGTTCCTTCTCAACTATACCCTTTTTTCTTTCATGGTTCCTGAGTCACATAGAGCAGCCAAACACACTCACATTTTTTGCAAGCCCTACAGGATGTAAACACGGCTCTGAGTGAAATTATGCACTCTTGCATAATTTACTCTGAAAACAGAAAGTGAGGCAGGAAAGAGCCATAAAAGAGAAACAGAGACAGCTTATTAAAACCTCAGATTTCTGGGTAAAACTCTCCAGCGCTGTTCTTCTTCTCCATTTTATTCCAGCTATGGAAAATCTCAAATCGCCTAGCAATGCAATTCTAGAACAAAGACTATTGATCTCCATCTTGCATCACTGTGTACTGTTGAATATTTAAAAATGTAATGTTTGGTCCTAAATATATCAATATTTGACCTAAAGGTTCTAAATTAGTAATCCTCAAAGAAAACAGAGGTTGTTAACATTCTCCAATTGTTTCCTAAAAAGGGGTGGAGAGAAGCGAAAGGAAAAGAAGGAACTTGGTCTGTCTGTCTGTCTCTCTCGCCTGAGAAAATAAAGGCAAAAACCTCTGAAGAACAGCATTTTAGGGAAACAAAACATACAGTAAAAAGTATAGTTTTTACTATACAAAATTAAATTGTTCACAATAAATCAATTATTTTTACAGGACAGTTCGGATTTCAATAACTGGAAGGATGCACTGTGACTGATTTTGCAGAATATGAAAAAGCATTCCCAGAGGAGATGCAAAAAAAAAAAAAAATCCTATCTGCATTTCCAACTTAGAATTATGACTGTTTTTTTCTTACTTAAGAGGCCACTGTGCAAGAATAACCTTGTACTCAGTCACAGGCCACTTACAGCAATAGCACTTAGACTTATATACCACTTCACAGCCACCTCTAAGCAGTTTTACAGAGTCAGCATATGGCCCCCAACAATCTGGGTCCTCATTTACCCACCTCGGAAGGATGGAAGGCTGAGTCAACTTTGAGCCTGGTGAGATTTGAACTGCCGAATTGCTGGCAGCCGGCAGTCAGTCTTAGGCCAT